TTAATTGAAAGTGTAAGCATGTTTCTGAAAGCGTAAACATGTTTGCAAAAGCATAAACACATTACCGAAAGCGTAAACGTGTTTGAGAGGAAAGCATTCATTTGTCTCTGAAAAGGTACACCTGTTTCTGAAAGCATAAACGTTTGTTACAAGCTCAAACAGGTCTTTGAAAGCAAAATTCATTTGCAAAAGGAAAGCTTTCCCTTGTTTCTAAAAGCGTGAACGTGTTCTCACTTGCATACTTCTCTTTCCAAAGCTATACTCTTGAGTTTCAAAAGCGATTACTTGTTTTCTCTGGCATGGACGAGTTTCAAAGAGATCCCTCCAGGTCACATGTACCCGAAGTTGTGATCGTTTTGGGGCACCTGCGAAGGTCATGCTGAAGCACCACCTTCAACACCAATCATGCCCCGCCCTCCAGCGACGCCTGAGGAATAGAACTGATCTCCTGAGGCTCGAACCCACGTTTAGCTTTTCTTATTTTGGTGCCGCTACCTCGGTACTACAAGGTTAACAGGGAATGTTTTCAGGGTAAACATGGGAATGTTTTCAGGGTTAACAGGGAATGTTTTCAGGGTAAACACGGGAATGTTTTCAGGGTTAACAGGGAATGTTTTCAGGGTAAACACGGGAATGTTTTCAGGGTAAACACGGGAATGTTTTCAGGGTAAACACGGGGTTGTTTTCAGGGTAAACATGGGAATGTTTTCAGGGTAAACACAGACATGTTTTTAGGTTGAACACGGCAATATTTTTCAGGGTAAACACGGGGTTGTTTTCAGGGTGAACACGGAAAAATTTTTCAGGGTAAACACGGAAATGTTTTTTGGGTAAACACTTCGATGTTCTCAGGGTAAAATACGCTTATAGGTTCACACCATCTTCTGCTAAAACATTGAAAATTGAATTTCTTAGGCTTCCTTTGGTTAAAAATGTGTGAGAACCACTCTCCACAACCACAACAACCACTAATAACCTTGTTCCCACAGCAGCAGCAGCAGGGTGGTGGTGGTGGCGACGGCTACCAGGGCAACCAGGGCGGCTGGCAACCACAAGGCAACGGCAACCAAGGCAACAACTGGGACAACCAGAGTGGTGGTGGTGGTGGTAACAGAGGTGACAGGTATAACCGGTGAATGTCACCACACTAACATTGACGACATTACTCACTATGACGCAACCACAACTTGTGATTAACCACAACCTGACCCTCTGTCTCCCCTTGTGTACGTAGGTGTGTGTTATGATGCACGTGTCGGTGTGTGCGTTCTGATGTACGTGAACCATGATTGAATAAAAGTGTACACATGAGCGTGTTTTCTTTCTGAACGCATAAGCACACATGAGCTTTTCTTTAAGAATAAAAATGTGGAAAGTTCTTGAGGTAAAAGTGTAAACATGTTTTGGAAAGCGTTAAAGTGATTTTGAAAGAAGCGTAAACATGTTTTCAAAGCATAAACGTGTTATTGAGAGGAGTGCATACATTTGTTAATAAGAGTGAACACCTGTTTCTGAAAGAGTAAGCGTGTTTCCGAAAGCGTAAACATGTTTGAAAGATCATAAACGCATTGCCAAATCAGAAACCTGTTTCTGAAAATGTAAATATGTTCAAAAAGTCATTAATGCAATAACGAAAGCATAAATGTGTTTCTGAGAGGAAAGCGTTCATTTAATTGAAAGTGTAAGCTCGTTTATGAAAGCGTAAACTTGTTGCAAAGGCATAAACACATTACCGAAAGCGTAAACGTTGCCGAGATGAAAGCATTCATTTGTTTCTGAAAGCATAACTGTGTTTATGAAAGCGTAAACATATTTGCAAAGGCATAAACGCAGTACCGAAAGTGTAAACGTGCTTCTGAGAGGAAAGCATTCATTTGTCTCTGAAAGGGTACACCTGCAACAGAGAACATTTTAAAGTAACTTTCAACTTAAATTATACGTAAACTATTGAGTGCAGCAATCTGAGGACGTTTGTACGCAACGAGGACATTTTAAAGTTGTACGTGGCGGCAACCATCAGTGCAAGTCATTTTGCGCTCACTAGAACCTATCCTTTTTGGGGAGTAGGCGCGTGACAATGTTGCTCCGGTTACTGATATTATTATTACTAATATCATTGTTATATTATTTAGTAATATTAATATACTACTTATATTGCTCCGGTTACTCATGTCAGGCGGTAGAGGGTTGAAATAAAATGGAACTTGAGCCCAACTCATGTTGGAGCTATGGATTCTGAGTCTAACGTGATGGAGACTCCTGCGTTTGGTGCTTTTTTCCAATCGAGACTAGACAACAGGGCTTGTCTCGGTTAACAATAGAAACCGGGACAATTTCCAGCACCTCGTGGGAATTCTGGGGCAATATCGAGACAAAATGTCCCGTTTAAAATAGGAGTTACGAAAATTTCCGGGTATTGTCATCTTTTATAACTGGACATACTATTTAATCCTTAATGTGTAAATAGAAAATTGCATCGTTTCAGACATCATCAGATCAACATTTTATCTGCTCACAATGTTTCATCTGGTATATTACATTGTAAAATGATGTCGCAATTGCCCGTGTAGCAATTTTGAAAGGCCAGAGTGAAATTGAAAACATGACTGATGATTAGACAGGTGCTGACGGATGAGTTTTTTTGAGATTTTTACGTGATTTAATTTTCGATTGAAACGGAAAAAGCAACTGAACAGCTCACAAGCACCTCTATTATGAGCAGATCTGCATGAAATTAATTAATAATTAATTAATTAAAACGCTTCAAATAATAGCCTTACTTTGCGGTAGGAATCAACGCACGCAAATCTCTGCCATGCAAATATTTACTTCACAAATTTATATTTATATAAATTTATTTACCTGTGGTAAATGAACATATACTTTGGGTAAGTATACCATGGGTAAATAAATATTTACTTTACAAATCTAAATATTTACTTCAGGCAGTACTCCTGGCCTCGTGTGCAGGCGAGTAGCGGCCAGTAGCTGCCTGTGAGCCTACTTCCAGCCAGTAGCAGTAAGGCTATACGAAATTATTAATCAAATTATTATCAAATTAATTAATAGTCTATACGAAATTAATTATTGCAGCAGCTGCTCAGAGTGTAGCTATATTGTCAAACTCGAATATTAATGAAGCTCTAACTTTTAGTGCCCTAGCTGATGGCTCCAACTTGCAGGCTGCTGATGTTTTCAAGACCAAAGACCAATGCTTCTTTTTCAGCAAGCTATGGTGGGAAATTAAATGACCGAAAGGTTGAAGAAACAAGTTCAGAGAGCATGAAGTCGTGCGTTCTCTATTTGATTGGGACTAATTCCCTCATCTGCGGTAGGCTACAGGTGGTGATGGCATAAGTGAGTTTCTTCAGTGCTTCGCTAGCGGGTAAACTTTGGCTTTGGTTAACCGAAATCAAAACACACGACGTATTCGTCTACTATTCTCGTTTAAGTCTCGACTTTTAAAATTCAATGAAGCCTCATCTTCACAGCAGATATTCTCACGTTCGTGATGTGGTTACAGTTCAGAGAACTAAGATTGGCGCAGAGAGGCTCGGGTTCGATCCCAGCTCTGTGCGCCAGTTTCTGTTCAGAATCGGCGAGGAGGCCGGGCGGTTAAGCACAGCAGAATTGTAGCAGTGAGCTGCGTGTTCAAGCCCGCAACAAGCTGTCATTGCTGCGAATGTTCTGCAGTGTTAAAAATTGACGACAAGCCTCCGGCCTAATAATCGCTTAAACCACTATATTATATTATATCAGAGTCTCAGTCTTAGCATGCATTATTTTTTAGCTAACCAGCGTCGGCACGAAGGTATCTGCGTATGCCCGATGTGTTGCCATCATTGAACGTGTAAATATAGCCACATAATTTTCACCGACTATTGTCCTATTTATATCTTGGTCGCCTGTTCTTTGCACCTCAATAGTTTTCACTTATCACTTAATGATACTCCTATCGTATTATTCCTATGATTCCTACTGCTATCGTATTATGATTTTGACCGCTACGTGAAGGCGGACGTTAAAATCCTATCGGGTGATGCAAGGATGCAACACGTGCAAGTGCGCCCATGTGTTGGAAGATGGATTTGTTGAATAATTTTTATTATTGGCCAAGAGTTGAAGGATCGTGACGTTAGGCAAGTTGCTCCTGAAGATGTGGAAGAGGCGGGCGCTCAGTGCCAGTGGAGGCTTGGTTCAGGATTAAGGATAATGATTGAGGCATAAATATAATTCCAATTTCAAATTGTTATGGATTTAACGCTAACGTTAAATTAGATGTTTGGAAAATAAACTAAAAAATTGAATCGAGCCATGAATTCATCTGTGGTTATGAATATGGTAGGTGCTGATAAATGTTGGTCAAATGTTTCATTGATGAATGTATAACTGCATTGAAAAGCACACAATATAGCAAGCAACAATCAATGAGGATGACGCACTAAGTTAACATATTTAAATACATTCAAATTTAAATGAACGAAGTTGTTGCCAAGGTCCGCAAACTTTGATTACAGTTTAAAACAAGTGAGTCTTGAGAATGACGGCTTAGAATCAATAGACAATAATTTCAGGAGAATATCCTGGAATATGAAATGAAATGTATCACGCGAAGTTATCCTTCCCATTCGACACGTGGAGCTAACTATTATATCATCACATCAAATCGGTAGGCTGGCAGTCATGCACGTGCTTGCAATGTAAATAAATTAAAGGAAAAAATCTGTATTTTTAAATTGCAAATGTGGGAAAAAATCCAAAGTATTTATTCTTGACATCTGATTATATTATATGACTATTTTAGGGTAATTCTGCAGAATGTGGGGAAATATTTATGCCTGGGGATCAACAAACTCGTAAAAATAGAAATCATTTGGCATTTGAGTCCATAGCAACAGTATTGAAAGCATAATTGATTAAATGTCGACGTATTGAATTGCCGTTAATGTTTTTTCAATTCAGGTTTTCAATTATTGATTCATAGATTATATAATTGAATATTTTTTTCAATATTTAAAATATAAATATATATTTAAATTATAAATGTTTCACATGTCCATTTCCGGTCCGGTATCAAATTTTCAATTATTGATTCATAGATTATATTGAATATATATTTTTTAAATATTTAAAATATAAATAAATATTTAAATTATAAATGTTTCACATGTCCATTTCCGGTCCGGTATCAACCTTTCTGAAACATGTTTGACGAGCAAATAAAGGATAATCGAAGTTGACAAACATATTTACCTTCCAAACAAAGCGTTTCGTTTATTTAGCTCCAGAAATCAATAAATATAAAAGTCTACCGTCCAAATCTACGAAGAAAACTGAAGCGATGAACCTTGCGGGGGTAACCCTACCTTGTTTTGATACGAGCTCAAGTGCGGTCATGCCACCAGTTGCTCGCTGGTGCTCGTCGCGGGAGGATGTCGTTAGTGTTTGTGCGCGTGGTATCACTTTCTTTCAGGTTCTAGTGGCACAGTATGCCACGTTTGGTGAGATAGCCTCTGTGAAAGTTTGTGTGTAGACTCAATTGCTTTCTTTTGATGCCAAACGTTCAGGAAAGTTGGCTCACATCCTAATTTCAAAACTCATTTGGGTTTTCGACCTCAATCTCTGAAGATCACGTGCTAACTTCGAGACACAGCTCAGCTGTTGCTAACAACCACTACACTTAGCCCTATAACTTTAGATAACTAAAGCCACGTTATCTCAATAACACTTATGAACAACACAAACAACATCAACATAGTATGTCAAGATCACAGCAAAAGAAACTCCGCAGCGAAGAAACTTCTCACAAAAAAACGTAAATGAAAGTTAGCCATTTCCTTTGTCAAAAAAATTAAGCTCCAGAAACTCTGCTCTGGACACTTCCCGGACCTACACTTCAAGTTTTCCCCGTGAATAAATAAACTCGTATTATCATTATTATTATTTATATAGTTCAAGTTAGTAAAATATTTATCTAATATATTTAATGTGGATTTTAAGCGTACATATTTAATATATTAACTAAAGAAGTCACGATAAAAGCAAATTTTTCGTCGTTTGTATTTTGTTCGCCGTCTCAGCAGCGGCCAGTCACACGTAAAATAAATGTGAAGGCATTGTCCGGGCACTGATGAACTTTGTAGGTTCATTTTACCCATCAGTGGAATATTGGCCCACGCGTGAAGCTTTGAGTTATTATCTCTTATTATATCTTATTATGACTTATTATAACTAATTATATTTTATTTTATTTTATTTTATCTTAATATAACTTATTACATCTTACTACATCTTATTACATCTTATTACATCTTATTACATCTTATTACATCTTATTACATCTTACTACATCTTATTACATCTTATTACATCTTATTACATCTTACTACATCTTACTACATCTTATTACATCTTATTACATCTTACTACATCTTACTACATCTTACTACATCTTACTACATCTTATTACATCTTATTACATCTTATTACATCTTATTACATCTTACT